AATTTATTTCCACTTTAGACACAATACCCGAGAGCGTACTTTTTGGAATTTGAATATCCTTTGCTATTTCAGTTTAAGTTTTACTTCCTGTCTCAATTTCTCATAATATATCATATTTTGTTTTTTTTAAACTCAGTGGTTTTCGATTTCTTTCAATGAATAAGAATAAACATGACTTTTGATTTTCCATTCTATTATATTGAATATCTTCTATTATATTTTAAGGCTGACTTTTACTAGTGAATGATATAGATTTCTTATCATTTAAATCAAGCGTACTTTGTAGTGTTCGAAGGATTATGCTTGCAAGCATGATTATGCGTGATTATGTTGAAAACCGATTATAAATTATCATTATTTTTTTACTCGAGCAAAACTATTAAAGAAAAGAAATAAAAGAATAAAAAATGACCGTTTTATCTTGATGACAATAACTCATCCTGAAATATCCTAAAAGAAAACTAGTACGTTCTGCTATTCAAATTCATTTTAATAGATGTATTGAAGACTAGTACAAACAACAATAAACGGTACATTCGGCAGATTTTTAGTCCGTGTCAATGAAAACAAAAGTTGAAAATGCGGTATCTATTTACGGATAGCCGTTATTTTGGTATTCGTTATAATATGCAATTTTCTGTACTTTTAATTTAATTGGGACTAAGAAATTAGTTCCTTTAAAGCGATAATTCCTTATAACCGTGTTCGCTATAACCGTATATTTTTTATATTAAATAAAGAAATGCAAAATTCTGGCCTAAATAAATTGTTCCATATAACCGGAAGTTCGCTATAACCGTGTTCGCTATGAGTGAAGTTAACTGTAATAAACAAAAACATACTCTTTTCGTTCCAAGATGATGGCGTTTGTTTATATTTTGTATACACGGGTTTTCACACAAACAAATAGAAAAAACACTTACAATTAATAATATGTCAATATTAACACGATTATTATGCGACAGAAATGCTTAAAATAAAACATGTGTATCTTTATTTGAAAAAAACTACGTCTTATCTATTAAAAAAGGGAAAGTCAATTGAGTTTCGGTCATTTTGATGATGGGGATTAAGCAGCAGCAACTACATGTGTGTAAATATCAAAGACTGGTAGCCCTTATTAAAACTATAATCCCGATAAAACTCCCACTAAACGAAAAAGACCGAGAAAGTGGTCTCGCCGGAAAATTTGTATTCTACTTAAATATTCCTGTTGTAAAATTGGGTGATGCTGGCCGTACACAGTTGTAGTTCAAGGTTCGAATCTCTCGTAGAAAACGTCATTACTTTTGCTTGCACCTGGATTAAAGTAGTCTATATTCCAATAACATCTTATTAAGTATGCGCTATTATAAATAAGCTTCTTATATTTCTTTGTAACATGACTTACACGGCTTTTACCATTTAAAGCTTCATGACGACACAGTAACATGTGACCCTGGTTTTTGAAGCAGTACTTACATGTTGCCTGCAAAAAGCTGCTAGTGTAGTCAGTATAGATGATATAATACTTTAAAACATGCAAGCATGGACTAAATACAAAACAAAACAGAACAACAATCGCAAATATGAAAAATATTACAGATTCCTTTATTGTAATATTCTTACAAATATTTGACAATTGTTCTTTTCAGAAATACAAAATGCTCATTAAGGAGGATTTCAAAACCTTAAAGTTTGTCTTCTGAAGGTTTCTATGACAAAATTTGTTTTCCATTTTATTTAAAGTTTCATTTTATCATTTTCATAAAAAATAAGAAATGGGTATATTAAGTGGGCTTTATATCGACTCCTGTTCTAATTTTGGTGTCCAGACGACCAAATCGAGCTTTATAAGTTTAAAAGTTAGCGACTATATTGAGCCGAAATCTAGTTTACAGTTGAGTTCACACTAAACTTCCCACCCTTGTGCACTTCTAGTGCACTAGAGCTGAACTAGAAGTGCACACCGTGTGCACTTCTAGTGCACTAGACCATATGACCAGGCTGGCCAGAGAAGGTGACACCTAAATGGTTTATTGGATAATTGCATATCAAGTGACAGGGGGCATCCATTGTTAAGCTGCTGTAAGAAAAAAAAACTTTGGGAATATATGGCCTATTCATGAATATAAATAAGTAAATCTTAAAATCAGCAGTTTTAACATTTTAGGTGATATCATGTTAAAGCTTAAAATTAATTTTTTTTATTGATTGTAATCATATTTTTCTTAACCAGTATTTTACTGTAGGTGTAAAATAAAACCCCTTAAAATCAAATTTATAGAATTAATAAGGTTAAATTTAAATATGTTCCGTAATGGATTTTGAATTAAATAAGTGTTTTCAATGGCCATGTATTTCAATTTTTCTAGTGTACAAATGGGAAAATCAATGTGATAATTCTGGTCCAAATAATTTAGTTTGTAACAATATAAACTTTTTTCCATAAGCTCAAACAAATCAAGGAAAAGTTTATATTTAAGCTAAAATATTATTTTTATAATATATAACTTAGAGACAGTTCCTCAAGAGAATATTAATACATTGATGCTAAAACAATCAATATACTGTGAAAATTTAGTATTCAACTGTGTATAATGCCTGCATATGTTTTAAAGATATAAATAATTAAAATATTATCCATAAAATAAATAAATTTGATAATTTTATTCATGATTTCAATATTAAAAATTATGTATAAAGGGAATACTTTTATTGAAGAGGAAATCACAAGTCATGCTGTGTATTGGTATTTTCTGAGAGGAACTAACAGTTTTCGTTATTATAACCACTCTCCTGCTGATAAGAGGGCCTCAGGGTAAATGACAAAGACCAGTCAATTTTGCAGATTATAAGTATGTATTGAAATTCCCTGGTTTTCTTAAAATGCATGTTAGACATAAGCCTGGAATTCATCACGTGTTGGCACTCAGGCTAGTTTGACATATAGATAAATGACCATAATATTTGTATAATCAAATATTCAAAAAAAATCATAATGGCATAAATGCGTATTAGATATTATTGTCTCTAAAGCAATTTTCTATATTTATACACATTTCTTGCCATTCTGCATAATCATATATAACTTAAGAGAAAATTCGTCATGTTCAAGATTGAAATAAAATATTAATTCATTGATTTTAAAACAATCCATACACTGTGATAGTATGTTTTTCAACCATGAAATGCTTGCATACTTTTTAAAGATATAAATAATTAAAAAATTTCCATGAAATAAATAAAATTGATAACTTTATTCAAGATTTCTATATTAAAAATTTAATGTATAAAGGGAATGCTTTTATACAAGAAAAAAGTCTCAAGTCATGCTGTGTATTGGTATTTTTCTGAGAGCGACTGCATTCATTACACTGGTCTCCTGCTGAAAAGAGGGCCTCAGGGTAAATAACAAAAATGCAGATGTATGCAATATTATTTAAAATTTCCTGTTTTTTCCAAAATACATGTAAGACATAGATAAATGACTATAATTTTTGTTATAATAATCAAATGTAAAAAAATAATCATAATGACATAAACGCATGTTAGATATTATTGTCATTATTGTCTTTGAAGTCGATTTTTCTAATCTTATCATAAAAAAACTGGTTTAAAATCAATATCAGTGTTAACCATTCTAGAAAGACCTCATATTAATATTTATCCACATGTCTTGCAATTTTGCATTAAATCTGCAGCATCTTTTAGTTTCTGAACTGGAAAATGTTAATTTTTTCTATTATAGATTTGACAAATTTGCCTAGTGTCAGTTTTAACACATTTATAGAAGATAATATATTTTAAAGAAAATATTTAAATACATGATTATAAAACTTTTGCAACTTCCTTTTCACATTAATGCAGATCTTGTTGTTTTTTTTTGTTTTTTTTTTTTTTATTTTAATAAAATATCATACATGAGCAGAAAACAGTTACAGAAGATTAAAGTGTCAAAAGTCATGCTGTGTATTGGTGTTTTAATATAGTACCCTGCTGATAAGAGAGCCCCTCAGGGTAAATAACAAAAGGCAGATGATAAATATAAGTAGGCAATGTAAATTCTGTATTCTCTGGATGTTGGTGCAAATAAATTTCATATCAAGTAGTACAAAAAGAAAACTGAAATATTTTTGCATTTTATAAAAAACTATTTTCAGAATAATATAAATTATTTATATTAATCTTAGGTAAATCTCAGTTTGAGAAGGTAAGAGAGATTATAAATGAGATAAAATTGACAAAATCTAGGCCAATTATAAACATATTAATTCTTTAATGTATTAAAGGCTATTAATGCTTGAAATCATTACCTTTAACTAAAAAAAACATAAGTTATAATCAAAAATAACTAATTTGTATAATTTGCCCCCCCCACCAAAAAAAAACAACAAAAAAAACAACAACAACAAAAAAACAAAAAATGACTGAATTTTGTTTAATTAGCATTTCAATGTTTCGTATTTCATTACCAGATTGTAATAAAATAGAATCATATTAAATATCAATTAATTTTGTTTATTTACGCACTTATCAACATTTAAGTAATAATTATTTATATTTACTTGTTCTAACAATTTAGTTTTAAAGTACAAAATCAGTAAAATTAATGACTTTGAAAAATTATTGTTCTAATATTTTACGCCATATTTTACAAAATCCAATATTCTCAACTTCAAAGTTATTATGAAAAACAATTATACAGATATCTATATTTATCTATCTTTTTGTAAAAGTCAAATTGCTATTCATTGAAATAAAAGTTAACTGCTTAATACATATAATAGGTCTGGTGCACTACAAAGTGCACTTATGAAGTGCACTACTAGTGCACTTTGAAGTGCACTAGTAGTGCACCTCTAGTGCACTCCTAGTGCACTTTGTGTAACCTTTAGTGTGAACTCAACTGTACATTTCCATATTACAGGAACTCCACCTTTGGGTCATCCGAACATCAATAGAAAATCAACAAAATTGCGAAAAGTCGTGGGATAAATTATTTATATATATATTTAACAAAAAGTTTCTTATATTTTATTTTTTTCCTCCTATAATATTATATTTTCATTAATGTGCAGCGTTATATATTCGAATATTTGATGCTGTCTTTTAATGATAGAAAAGGAAATACTTTAAGCATTTCTTGTATTCCTTCCTTTACTTCAATTTTGTGATGGAAACCTAATTCATGTATTTTCTCATAAGACACCTCATAATCCCTTTTGTCATTATCAGTTTTATCACTAACTGTGCTAATAGTGCAGTCAGGTAATACCTCCTGTATAATGTGTACAACTTGTAACTTTGTCATGTTCAATTGGTCATCTCCAATATTAAATGCTTGACCCGACATTACTATTGCATTATCCAAAGCAAATATAACTGCACGCGCAGCATCTCGAACATGCAGGAATGTCCTTCTGAAATGACCTTCAAACAATTGAATATGATTTTTCATTACAGCTGTAAATGTTAAATTGTTTATTAAAAGATCAAGTCTCATCCTAGGGGAGAGTCCAAATAACGTTGCGAATCTTAGACATATGCCACCAACAGACTGAACTATTTCTTCTCCACGTACTTTACTTTTTCCATACAACGAAAGAGGTTGTAGTGTTGTTTTTTCAGTACAGACACCTTCTACATACCCGTAGCAAGATCCTGTACTTGCAAATATCAAAATTTGTGTTTTCGTCATGTTATCAACTACGTTTTGTGTTCCCAAAATGTTTGTTGACAAGGCAGCATCTGGGTCTGAATCACACGCAGGAAATCCAACTACTGCAGCGAGATGGATAATTGCGTCTTTCTCCAAAACAACTTCAGCAATATGATCTCGATTTGTCACGTCACCCTGAATAATTTTTAGATTAGACATGTGAACAACATGGAGCAATGAGTGTATACCCCAGTTCAGTTTGTCATATACTGTAACCTCGTGTCCTTCGTGTAAAAGCATCGGTACCAATACTGAACCAATGTATCCAGCACCTCCTGTGACAAGTACTTTCATTACCAATTTTAATTGTCCTATTATCTGACTGAACGGTTTGAGTAGTGTTTTAATTTCTTTGTCTACATATATTTATTCATAATAACTTATCTGTTTCAATATTTCAAACCTCCATTAAGGGATGGAATATATAAAAGTCACGAAGTTTTAGCCATTCATGCCACTTGCAAGTATTTCTTGTTTTCTCAAGTAAAGCGAATAGCTAATACAAACATTCTTATATATCCATGCTCAATAGTCATGTAATCAATACCAATGTTTTGCTACGGTTTATCAAAACCCAATCTTTGAGTGAGTAATCATTCAAAATGTGGTAAGTTTATTTCAGGTACGTTTCATTATGCTTTTTAATAACATGGACAATTCTTAATCAATGTTAATAGAATAAAGGAATTCACTTATTTACTCTTATTGTTTGAAAATAAGCAAATCATTATTAGGAAGCTAATTCAATATCAAATAATACGAATATTGGAAATAATCAATTAAATACTTTTTGAAAACAAAGCGCTTTTATTATACAGTTCATATGTATTTTAAGCATCATTGTTGTTGCAATAACTTACGATTAAGATTTAAAACTACAAATTATATGAGTCAGATCACTGATCGATTATCAAATTAGTATTGGGTTCTAGGATTGTCTGTGCTCTGTATGGCGCCCTGTTCGGGTTTTGTTTTGGGTCCTCCTGTGTTCCTTGCCGCTAATTCTTGTTGCAGGATCGATATTACTATATGTTAATAATATGATTAAAAAGGACCAAAATGTAATTTTTATCAGCTTTAACAAAAATCCTAGCAAAGAAATGGAACGATGTTTGTGAAGCAATGAAATGCAATTTGCAAAACACAACTTCATTTTGATTATCTAAATAATCTTTATTTCTAAAGTACAAGGGATAATCAAAACAAATATTCACTTCCTCGATTGCATGTCTCAAAATGACGTCACATCAATTTGTTTTATTTTATTACATACTGTTACACGAATATAATTTCAGTTACATTAAATAATAATATTATAAGTTTAAATACCAAAGCACTCCGTAACGACAGTTTGATAAACACTATGTGAACATACCAATATGATAAACAAGATCAACACGGAAAGGTTGCGTTCAATGAAAGTTTGGATTTTCCCGGCTTTTACCATTAAGAGCACGTCGTGAAAGGAGAACGTGTCATTTTATAGTTTGACCGGCAGTTAAAATTTAAAGACGATAACTTTCTTTTCACACAGCTGTTAAATGGCTGCTTATATAGTACATATCATAACTTTAGACGAAAAGTATAAGCCGCAACGAGCAATAATGCATTGTATTGTTTATTACATTACAGAATGCTTGAAGAAGGGACATCTCAGTGCTAGGTTGGTGCCGAGGTTCCTTCTCTAGACAGTTTTGAGCACTGACAAATAGGTGCAACATTTGATAATGTCGTAAACGTAGTTTGTTTGCGACACTGGTATAATTATAAATTTCATATACATATATTTATGCTAATACAATAACGCGATCATCATTGCTTTCATTTTCTGTTTGGAAAATTTCATCGTTTGCTGTCCCCTGAAGTCAGACAAAAACAGTTCGATATATAGTCAAGACATTGCATAATCTAAATAGTTTTATAATGTTAATTTGTTTAAAACACGCTAATTTCATTATAAACCTCTTATTTCAAGATAACATGCATTTCATGGCATCAAAATGATCTGTAGCGGTCAATGGCCGTACATGATCAAACCTATGCGATCTTACTCCGAATAATGTGAACGTTAAAAACGGATTCAATAAGGACTTAGTTAAGATGCGATGTAGTAACACAAAAGCACAGAAGAAACTTTGCACGTACACACACAATGATTTTCTTCAATTATTATGCAATTTGTACAATAAATAAGTGTCGATGTTTATGGATAGTTTTTTATAGTAGACATCATGCCCCGTATTGTTCTTGTGACTGGTTTTGAATATCTCAATTTTGTTTATGAACATCCCTAAAGAGTAACAGAATTCTTTTTTCGGCTTACATGTATTCACTGTTATGATAGAAATACAAAGAATCATTAAACAAAGCGCAACATGTCAATTTTTAAAACGGTAGTTATAATTGCAAGTTACCGTCCCAGTCTGTTAGCACCGGCTCAAAGAGAATATATTTATAAAACATAACCTTGTAAAATTTTGAATTTTGAAACATCCGAAGATGTGAACATATGGCGGAACATTCAGTGTGACACGTTAATGCAATTTCATGATAAAGCACCATAACGTAACAAGCAATGTTTGTGCCCTTAACTAGAAAGCAATGAGCACAATTAAATAATATGAATTTTGAAAAGGGATCAGAGGTTAACAAGTCTTCATATTAAAGATAAGTTGTCAAATACAAAATTAAAAGGCAGTCAACAATATTTAAGTGGGAAATACTGGAACCACCAGACTTAAAAATACACTGAATTGGTACCAACATGCACTCACATCAATAATGTCTTGGGAAACAGTCGTCAAGGAAGGAAAATATAACATCTTTGATTAGATATACAGAGAAACTTATTGCAGCTGCCAAACGGTATAAATAACACTGATGTGTTATCAATAAAATAGTGAATACACCCAACAAAAACAAATGAATCCCTATAGAAAGCCAAGGACATGGAATAAGAAATGCTGCAGTTTCGGTTTGATTGATGTGGTTGTTATCATGGAACTTATTCCTTAAAAAAGCCACATATGCCCTCGAGTATGTTTTGGACACAGAATAGTAGTTTCTTGTTGATATCTTTTTTTTTATTTTCTGAGTTATTTCAGATTAATCTTAAGAGTAACAAGAAATGTCGAACGACACATATGCCCCCCTTTCTAGCCCTTGATTCACATAATTGGTAATTTTGTTATAAAAAACTTGCCATAAATGGGTACATAGAAGTGTTCAGTTATGGAAAAAAGAGAAAAATAATGAAGCCTTTGCAATAAATAGTTTTCAAGAAAATGAGCGGAAACTATTCTGACTTTTAAGGCACATGTGACCTTGACCTTTAACTTAGTTTCCCCAAAATCAATAGGGCTCATGTTATCTACTAATAATGACCCTCAATCTGTGAAATATTTAGACTTAATGATAAATAGTTTTTAAGATAATAAGTGGAAACAATTTTGATATTTAAGGTCCCTATGACCTTGACCTTTAAACGATCTTCTCACTTCTCCTCGGAGCGTGCACGTCGCTGAGAAGGCACAGGGCATCGGCAGAAGATTTACGGCTTGGCTGGTAGTAAACTTAACTTAACACATGCCCCCCGTAGGCTGTAACAACGGGACTGCTACTTCGTCTACAACTGCGGACCAGCTGCCGGTGTCCTGACTAATGCCGAAGGGAGTGGCCCTACGATGTAGGCTGAGACGATGAGGATGGTGTGCTAGGGTGCGTGAGCCCCTAGTACAGATAGACAGCTTGTCAGGCAGGCCTTTTGCTTGCACCAACAGCCCTTTTCAGGGCTACCCTTTCATATTGTCACAGGTTACTATGCATTTAAGTTCTCATTGACCGCCGTACAGTGACCTACTTTCGGCTCAAAATTAATATCTTTGGCTAATACTCCGTGGAAATTGCATGGAGGTAAATTATTACCACTTTGTGCTTCAAAATTAATTCTTTAAGGGCATGACTGGTGACATGTTCGAGGTCCGTACTCGACAGCGAGAGCTGCTTTTTGTGCCCTTACGGGCGGATGGACCCTCATTAAGCATTAACTACATACATACTACATACAGACCTTTAAACTAGTGACCCAAATCGAAAGGGGCCATCTAGTTAAGACAATCACAATGTGAAATATGAAGACTTTGTTATAAATAGCTTTCCAGATAATGAGCGGAAACCATAATAACATTCAAGGACCCTGTGACCTGGACATTTGACTTAGTGACACCAAAATCAATAGAGTTCATCTAGTAATTATTACCAGTCAGTATGTGAAATATGATGAAATATGATGACTTTGTGATAAATAGTTTAAAAAAATGATAAGAGGAAATCATTCTGACAATTAAGGTCCCTGTGACCTTGACCTTTGACCTAATAACCCCAAAATCAATAGGGGTTATCTACTAGTTATGACAAATCAATATGTGAAATATATTGACTTTGTAATAAATAGTAACCAAAGTAATAAGCTGAAACCATTCTAACATTTATGGCCCTGTGACTTTGTCTTTTCACCTGGTGACCAAAAAATCAATAGGGGTCCTTTACTTGTTATGACAAATCAATATGTGAAATGTGAAGACTTTGTGATAAAAAGTAACCAAGATAATGAACGGAAATCATACTATCATTCAAGGCCCCTGAGACGTTGACCTTTGATCTAGTGACCCCAAAATCAATAGGAATTATAAACTCGTTATGACCAATGTGAAATATAATGACTTTGTGTTATATAGTCACTGAGATAATGAGCGGAAACCATTCTGACATTTAAGGTCCATGTGACATTGACCTTTGACCTAGTGACCCCAAAATCAATAGGACTCATTTACTAGCTACGCCAAATCAATATGTGAAATGTGAAGACTTTGTGATTAATAGTATTCAAGATAATTAGCGGAAATAATTTTGACATTTAAGGCCTTTGTGACCTTGACCTTTGACCTGGTGACCCAAAATCGATAGGGGTCATTCAATAGTTATGGTAAATTAGTATGTGAAATATAAATACTTTATGATGATTAGTGACCATAAGATAATGACCATGTGGTCTACCGACGGACTGAGCGATCGACCGACATTAGCTAAACAATATACCCCCTCTTCTTCGAAGGGGGCCATAAAAATGAAAAAAGGCAATAACTCTAAAAATGCAAGAAAAAGTGACGTTTTTTTATGCATTGCACTATGACTTAATGAGATATATCAACCTACAAAGTTAATTGCAGATAACTATTGTAGAGTCAAAGTTATAGCATTCTAATATGAAAGATACTTAATGTAAGTATGTTTAAACACATTGAGCATAAAATATGTTGTTTGTTGCTTTTGATGTTAGTAGGTTTACGTATTTGATATCTTTGACGTGTAAATATTTCTCTTTTTATGTAGTGAAATATCGAGTAATTATGCACTTGACTGTCGTATCTGTTTGATACGCGTGTAAGAAATCACTTGTTACTTTAGA